ACAACATGTCAACTAATTGCGTTTTCAACTATAACATCGCAAACAGATCTTCCAACCAACATGTGAAAATGGTCAGACGCAGGGGCGGAGCCATTCTTTGACCAGGGTGGGCACGTGCCCCTCAATTTTTTTTTTTTTTTAACATTAGATATATATTTTTTAAAATAAAATTTATATATATTTAATTGTGCTCACCTTATTATTGTGTTATTGTGATTTCGATTAAGATAGATGACTACTTAAATAATAAATAATTTTTAAATAATGTTATTGGAACTATTACATTATGATATTAAATCTAATAGTAAGTCTCTACGTTTAATAACGTCTACTATTCATCTAATGGTCACAAACTATTGGGCTCCTACTAATTAAATTTTGATTTTTTTTGGTCAATATATAAAATAAAATTTTGAATTAGATGCAATTACTATTATTCTTAAATTTTTAGACACAAACATGTCCGAATAATTTTTAGACATCGCGTTAATTTTTCTAAATTATAGAATTATTTTATTATTGTATAGAAATTAGCGTCATAATATAATAAATTACAGAATAATAAATGAAAGACTGTTATTAGCATTTTGTATATAGAAAAAAATTATTTATTGATATCATTGATTTGTATAAATCTTTTAAATGATAAACAATAATCAGATTTAATTGTAAAATGATAATAATTAATCTCAAACAAAATTTTAATTAATTTACTTTTATTTTTTCATTCCATGCAAATCCGTTTTTAACCTTTCATGTTTAATGAATTTTTACTCATAATTATAGTAAATATGAATTTATGAACTTCTATGGTGAATTGAAAAATAAAAAATAAAAAATGCTATTTAGATCTAATTTAATGACATAATTTAATGCACCCCTTTGGTTGAAAGTAGACTTCATCTAACATTAAAATTTACAACTAAAATAACAGTTACATTGAATCAAGTCATTGATAACATTGATAAAAAAAACAATTAAAATTTATTAATGTACTCACCCTAAAGTATTTTTCTAGCTCCGCCCTGGTCAGACGAATTGTGACAAATAAAAAACAAGTTTTGTTTAATCTCACACGAAACAATGTGTTAAGTATACAAAGAAATTATTCAAACATGAAGATTTGGGCAGCCTAACTACCTTAAGACGTGGGTTGTAGAGAAGCAGAGTCGTTTTAAACGAGATAATTATAGGTATAATTAATTCGTTTTGTTTTTTTGGTCATTTTGTGCATCATACAAAATCACTATGATCTTGAATTTAACCTAAAGAAAAATATATAATTCATAAAAATTAGGTGATACACAATAAAAGAAGCAAAAACATGGATTGCTAATAAGAAAATTCAGGAAAAAGTTTGGCATGAGTATTAAATTAAATAAGATAGTGGGAGAGATTCAATGTGTTGAGTGGAGTCCAATTGAATATAGAAATCATGGCATTTTGACTCGAATATCTAAGTAAATTGCCACTTGTTTGGCTTGTGTCGCATTCTAGTGACAACATTCTCATTTTTATGATCACTATCTGTATTCATAGGAGCAATTATCAAGTTATTAACTGATCAAAATTTTAAAGTTGTTAGCGGTCTAAATAAGACACCGGACTATCAATAAAGATAAGTTAAGACTATTCATCAAAGACTAACTACATGGACAGCAACAACAACCTAACCCGAAAATATTATATTATTTCAGCAAGTCTTAATCTCTTAACCTCTTAATTGAGAGAGGTCATATTGTACATGAATCTTGTGGTTGATGTTAGTATGATTATACTTAAGAAAAACAAGAGTCCAAAATAAAAAGATTAGACATAATAATCCAAGGTAGACCCTCGTAAAATTTAAATTTGATTTATGAATCAGTGACACCTAGGTAATTGATTGAAGAAAAACATATGAATCAATTAAAAAGATAAAATAAACAAGGATAAGAATAAGGGTTACCCTTATCACAGTATTTGCATAAGCACACTAGAGTCCATGTCTTCTTTTCACCTTAAGCTCATAGAAAATCAAAAATAGGTGCGGTTTGTCTTTTTAATGCATAGTTAAGTGTTACAACAGAAGATTGTTTAGCGAACAAGAAATAAAGTCTCTATACCGACATTGAAGATTTTGCAACTATCCAAAATAGATCTTTACTCTATAAGAGGGGTGTCAGCGCTTAACCAATATAATAACAAATAAACGTTCTTTTTTTAATTATACGAATTTAACTGATCTATATTACTAACTGTAGTCGGTGTCGGAGAATTATAGGCCATCACCATAATCAATGTTCCATTATCTCCAATGTGCTATTAATTTTTTTATTTTTGCAAGTCACGACAAACTCTAACTATATTTATACATCAACAGTGGTGAAATAATAAGTATTACAAGAACTTATGAACAGATCAACATCAGAAAAAGGTCAAAAAAAAAAAAAGAGAGAGCCCAGATGCGCTTTGTTTTCGTCCGAGGAGTCAGACGATTGTGAGGACCCTGTCGTCACGTAGAGCGCAGAGCTTTCATCACAGCTCTCCACAAGAAATGCACCAGCCGGGAATCGAACCCGGGTCTGTACCGTGGCAGGGTACTATTCTACCACTAGACCACTGGTGCTTGTTATCTTAGTTTCCAATCTTATTATATTTGAATTATTGAGTTTTAAATGCATTGTCCTCTATGCATTTTTTTTTTTTTTTGGAAAATGCTAAGTATATTTTTTTTTGAATTATTGTTGCTTCATGTACGAGATGCTCAATTTGTTTATATTACTATATTGTTTTCATAGGAGACAAACTAAGTATATGGTAATTGGTGAAAAGATAAGGTTATTATTGTCCTTTTTATATCCACCTCTTTTTAACTAAATTTATCTCATATTATATATACATTTTTAATAATATACCTATATTTTATCTTCTCATAATTAGAGTTTCATTTTCCTTCTCTTCTTATACACTCTACACAAAAAAAAAATTCAATATGAATTTTGATAAGTACACTAATTTCTGTATCTAGATCTTATCCAAACCTATCATATCTTCTGTCAAAACAACCTCCATTAAATTTAACATGAGGAGCAGTAATTTGTGTTTCTATAGTGTGGACAACAATATTAACTTTTCTGTGTATAGACAAACTAGATCAAAAAAATCTATTGAGTATATTTATGAGAATAATTTATATGTACAATTATAAATAATCAACACAAGAAATTACAATGTATGAATACATACATATATATATGGACTCACATATAAACCGTAAATCAAAAATAATTCAACTTGACAAAATATCAAAACACAAAAAAAAATAAAAATAAAAATCCCTATAATCAAACAAATAATTAAATCAATAAATAATACTAACATGTATCTCACTAAAAAACCATATTGAAAAAACTCTTTTATGTAGATTATATGAGAGAAAATAGTGAATTGAAACCCTAATTTTGGAAAGACGAAAGGTGAACTTGTTATTAAAGGGGTATTTATAGAATAAGGAGAATTTATTTAAAATAGGGTGGGTATAAAACAGTAGACTTAGAGTAGTTCGATTATAAAAATTTTAATGGAATGAAAATGAATATTTGTGAGGTGAAAATAGACCCTCCCTTGGTCAAAATGTTTAATCCTCGTTATCCACAAAATAATCTATATAATAAGATAGGTACTATTTTGAATTTTATCTCCATATATTTTTTCTGTTTATTTCTATCAGATCATCTATGTTTATAACAAGTTGATTAATTTAATTTAGATATTGTTTTTGTACGATAGTACACATATGTTTTTTTTTTTGTGGTCATACAATTTTGGAAAAAAAATCAATTTTTTTTATAAAATAATTGGTATAAGTTATTTTTTTTTAAAAAATAATTAGTATAAATTAATTTTAAATTATATAATTAAAAAAAGAGAAGTAAATAAAAATTAATATTTAAAGTAGTAGAATTAAATTTTTAGCATTTAAATTTTATATTTCATCGTCCTTTTAAACACGGATTATAGTTAGTTGACTTATATGTGTGATGTGGACTAAATAAAAAACATAAGCAATCATGTACACTCCTGGAAAATAATTAATTATTATTTTCAATAGTTTTTATCTACCATTATATAATTTATTTTTTTTTTGAACTTTTTAAATGATTAATGTAATTAGTCGGATCCTCGTCTAACCACCCCAAGCCATTCCAAATTAGTTCCAGTTTTGAGCATTGCTTTCTCTACAACTGATGAAATTGAGACACCTGTCACCTTCCTGCAACACCATTGCTCAAGATTCGGCTTCAAGATAGTAAATTGCACCATTACTAACATTTCAAAACTCATGAGGCCAAATTGCAGCTCTCTCTCTCTCACACACACACAATCATATTCGCACACAAGTGTTTTTTTTGGATGGATGAATCGGAACAATAAAAAGTTGAATCCCAGTAAGTCGTGATAGAAAGACCAAGACCACTCTGTCATTTATAATACCCATTGCCGCGTATTTAAACACGCACATAAGTTTACTAAGCATATCTTAATGCGTATGACCTATATCGACATCCAATTTCTTCCACTAACCAAACAAAAAGAGATCGGCACTCCCTCTACTAAAAAGATCCTATACTAAAAGGCCAACAAATGGAGATGCAAAAGCAAAAAACCAACCAGGAGTTAAAATGCTACCAGATTGTACATTATATACTTACAAACAACTAAAAAAGTCAAAAAAGAAATTATGAGTATGAAAGAACAATCCTCTCCCTAAATATCACATTAGTTTGTTAGCATCTACAACTATTAGACTTTTTCAGTCTTTAGCATCCTATCTAAAGCATTCAGGAGGACAGAGGGGGGAAGTCTTCATTCTTAAGGTAATAGGATCCCTCGGCAACCCTGAAAACCCAAACCATGTACATAACTTTAGATGTTAGCCAGGAAGAAATGTCGAATAGCCAAATACATTCTTTGTTACCCACAAAATACTGAAGCAATGTTAAAAAAAAACTTGCTACCTTTCTTCTTTTTTTTTCAGCACTGGTTTGGAAGTCTGCACTTCTGGTACCACAGGGTTTGATGTAGAAGCCCAAGCTTGAGAAGTGCCTGAAGACAGCTGACTGTTTCCATCGGCTAGCTGTCCAAGAGATCCAAATTCAATTCTCAAAGCTAAATTGGAGAAGCCATTGGCATGAGTATTGCCCACATTGGACTGATGAGACTGGTGGGATAAACCAGACTTCCCATGACCTTGAACCGGGGACCTGACACATGAAATATCTTGACTGTCTACTTGAATTGAATTCTTTTCGGGCAAAGCAGGAGCCACACCATTGATATGGGTGTGTCTCCGCACTTGACTGTGAGTTCCTGTTGCACGATATCTTCTCTTCCCTTGTGAGGATCTCTCCCTGCCTGAAAATAAGTTCTGCAAAACTTCAAGAGTGAGATTACTGCAAAATGAGACTGTTGCATTTAGTTTGACACCAGAAACTATTCTACAGGAAGCACATATCCTTGCCAACAATAACCAAAAGGGGGGAGGGAGCAGAGGAACGCATGTATCCAAAAGGGTTGACAAGAATATACCATAGTGGGCAAATATGTGCCAGTTCCTCGTTCTGTATGTTTTTCAATGGAACCAAAAGTAGCATTGAACAGTGTTGATTTGTTAGCAGGATAAACAGGTGGTCCCAAGGCCACTCTATCTGTGCTCAAACATGAATTCTGCTTGAGTGGCCTGGTTTGTCGGACAGTATCCAAAGGCCTCTTGTTGCTGAACTGAGAGGGCGATGTGGGAGGACTGGGCATCCCAGGTGCAGCAGATAAAGCATATCCATGACAACTTTGACCGTACAGAAGACTCCTAATGTGACTATCATGATCCCCACTGAGGTCTGCTAAGGGATTCAAAGTTTCCATGTCGCCACCTAAGCCCATTTCCCTAAAATCAAGAGATAGACTCTCTAAGCTGTTAATGTCAAGACTTGAGATTGCCGACCCACTAGAGCTCAGACCTTCATGATTGTTTGCACATGAACAGACTGTGTGGCTGGCCTCTAAATGGTTCTCTCCCTGTTCCATCCATGAATGATAACCCATCTTCTCATCAACGAAATCTGATGGCCTTTTCTGGCAGAGGATCCCATTTTCAAAGTTTCCATTTTCTGTGGACACTCTGGAGAAGTAGAAATGAGATGCATCGTAAAATTGCCCAGAAAGAGAACTATTAAAATTGCTACTTATTGGTGAGCAGTCAGTTGTGTCATTTGAGCTTCTCAAACTCAGAGGCCTGGGTGTTGCAAGGCCATTTGCATCCCCAGCACCGCGACATCCTGAGACAGCAGTCCCATCTGTCGAACAACTGGATTCTGACATTATCTGTGAACGATCTAGTCTAGTCAAGCATCTGTCTAGCCCATTTATTAGTACTGAAGTGCATTTGTGTTCTACCCCTAAATTATTATCAGAAAAATCGTCATTTGATGATTTTGGCTGCATTTCATCCTCAGATAGTGTTTCAGCATGGGATGATGAGGACAAATTGCTGGACCATTTCACACCAAATGGCAGTGCAGAACTCTGTATATCAGCACCATCTTTACATCCATGCCTCTCCAGGGTGTTTGCAAAGAACATCTTGATTTCACCTGCAATTCTTTCTCCTGGTAACAGAAGGATTTTACCAAGCTTGCGAGCCCCATATTTGAAAGCACTACGTATACGATAGAAATTGCCTACAGGGAACCAAAGTGCGCCACATTAACATGACAAGAATAGGATAATGTCGGTGAAGATTATAGTTGCGGTGCATGCAGTGCTGGCAGTGGTATGGCAATAATTTGTTGGTGTACTGGTGTAGCAATATCCTTTGGTATCATGCCTAGTTCCAAATGCAACAATTTTCCTATCTCACAAGAAAGAAACATTTTATTTGCCACATTAAATATATTTGAAGGTACATTGCCAAAGTAAGTTCTTAGGTCCTCCCTGTCTATCTTCCCCTCCCTTTCCCTCCTTTTTCCATTTCAATTTTTTTTTTTTTAGCTTCAGAAGACTGAGTTGAGTCTCTGTAACTCCGAAAGAAAGCCTGAGAGTGTCCAAGAGACACAAGAGTCTAAATTTAACCAGCTAACTGGGTTTCTAATCAAGAATGCAGCAAAAACATACCTCCACCTAACTAAACCTTCAATAAACCATTTGCTTTTCAAGTGTTGAGTTTTTTTTGGACTTTTTTCAATCCTTAGAACCAAATAACCAAAACATAAGATTACGATATTCATTTTATTTTTATGCATTTCACTGATTTCCTGATCACAAGTTCACAACATAGAAAAAAGAGAAAGTTTCTTACTACTTGTCCATTTTATGAAACTTTCAGAAGCCCAGTATCACAGCAATTCAAATATCTCTTCTTACCTCTGTTGACACTGCGCCCAAGGTTGTTATTTTCTTTCAGCGGATCAATTATATTAAGATGCTTTTGAGAAAATGATCGCAAGCTAGTATCAAGCCCCCTGGATGGAACTGAGTACATGTCTAGACAATTTCTTTGAAATTCTTCACTGAGCATCAAATCATCCTGTCCCTTCACTGGTAACTCAACTGTCCATTCAGAGGGAGAGTGCTCAGACAGGGAATAGAGAAACTCATAATGTACGATATCGAAAAGAACAAGAGTGTATCTTACCTGCTATATCAGACAAGGATGACTTGAGAACTGGCCCATTCAAACTGATACAATAGTCCTCCCAATCAAATTTGCTAAAATAGTCCAAGAATCGATAAAGGACCTATAGATAGGCAAACAAATCAGTTGAAGTCATGCAATCATTTTGTCCATCACTGCAATGGCAATTTGCAAAACCAGTAGTTACCGCTAGTGGGCCATCTAAGGATGAGTGGAACAGGTTGAATATATATAGGACCAATGTCTCCAAAGCATAGGTAGAAATTAAACCATGATGGGCACCAAGAATACGGCTTTCATAATAGCACCAAGCTTTTATCAGAATGATGCTACGTTTGAAAAGATGATTTTTTCCAACAAGGCGATCAACCTACATTAAAGAAAATGTCAATATCCAAAAAGCACAATTTGGTCAACCTTCAGCTCAGCAGACTTTCCAAGTGTGTCTAGAACCAATATAACACCTAGTTCTGTCACTATCCTGTATGAAGTCCAATTTGAAGAAAGCTTTCCATTTAGTTTATCTCTGTGTACTTACCAACAGCAGATAAGCTTATTTTCTCCTCCTCCTTTTTTGGGGTGGGGGTCCACATTTTTATTACCATGAACTTATTTGACACTTTGCAAAAGCATTTTAAGACTACCACAATCATCACCGAAAACAACAACAAAGAACTGGCACTCCTTGAAATTCCATCTAGAGGAAAAGAGGCTTACTGCATATGCATTTTGAAAGGCAAAATGAAATAATCAATAAGTAAGAATCAAGCTCACACTTGTAAGACAAGAAGAAAGTATAAATTTATATTTTATTAGAAAGCCTCATCCAATACCTGTTCAAGAAAACAAAGTGTACAAAGTCCTCCTAGTTGATTGAAGGATATATCTATCACAATATTCTGTACAAGGCATTTCACAAGCTTAACCTGCCATAAGAAATTCAAATATTCTCAGTAGAAATCTTCGCACAAGTGATAAAAAAGGCTAGAGGGTGACTATTGAATAGAAATTAGCCAAAAAAATTACTCAGCCATTAATGCATAGTGCAGCTTGTCTAAAATTTGGAAATATGTGAATTAGTTTAAAAGACATCAATCTGCCCACAAGAGTAATTACACGACAATCCTAAAGAGTTTAGATCAGAATTGGATACATTGTAGTACTTGGAATTCCGCCCTGCCTGTAGAAGCAAAGAAATTCTGCACCCAGTCGCAGATTTGGGAGGGTTTTTGTATTCCTCTACATATAATCACCAAGTCCAAAGTAGCAAATTGAAAGAATTACAGTTCACAGAAACTAATAGCATCTGCATCTAAAGTGAAGTTTATCAGGAAATCAACGCACACATGAACAGTCTATTGCCAACAAAACTGCACAAGAGACTAGTAAAGATCCGAAATAAGTGTGGCATTACTCACAATCCACAAAACTTGAAGAAAATATAAACATCCAAGATCTCACACACAGGAAAATTTGCACAAAATTGGGTTGCTACTATCCAGTAAACTTCGAGAAAAACTGAGCCTGAGCCAAAGTATTTAAAATCGTGATCCAATCTTGGATCAAGGGAGAGGCTAAGGTTTGGGATCATAGAACCGCATTGAAAATTGTAAGAGAAGCTACAAACTGAGAAAAATGGGACTAAAAAAGCGTCTAACAATACAAAATCTAATAAATATAGAAATAAAACGAGCCTATTATCTATCTAATATTAAATCTAGCAAGTTGAATTATCAACTTATAAAAGCTCAGTAACTGTGAAAAGATTGATCTTATTTTCATCTATTTTGATTTAATGGTACAAAATTCATCACAATTTTTTTTTCAACTCAAACATCATTTTCTATGCACGTCCCTCAATGTCAATCAATTCAACCAATACTCTCCAATACCAAACAACTCTATTAATCCCCACTTACCTCTCTTTTATTTTCAACATGTTCACTTTAATTTTAAATTACATAATTAAAGAAAATAAAAAAAATAAATTATTATTTAAAATATAAAATATTGAACGATCAATGTTCTATTTTTAGTATTATAGAGTGTCTTTAGACACAGGGTTATTGCTGGTACGTACATAACAGAACTTACATATATGATAAAACTTGAAAAACTACAATGTGGGTTTTGAAAATGGAAGAAAATCATAAATGGGTTGCTCATCTTGTAGGATTTTATGAAGAATAATAGAGAATTGTAGTATTTTCATCTTAATTAAGAGTGTGAGAAAGACAACGGTGAGACAAGGAAAATTGAGAGCCTGTAACACTTTTAATTGTTTGACATCCAACAAAAATGTAGAAGAAAATAAAAGATGGAAGATATACATGGTTGCATCACTCATCGAAACTTGAAGTGAGGCAGACAAACCACAACAAGAAAAACATACAACCATGAAAGATACACATGGTTGTATCACTCATCGAAACTCGAAAGTGAGGCAGACAAACACAACAAAAAACATACAATTTAATAGAAATTTCTATAACTTTTCTCATACGTTAAACTTATCTAATAACGTAGGAAGCACAGAAACTCGACGAGGGGTTGCGTGGGGCACAACCGAACACGTGTCCGACAAGAATACGCATGGGATATGGCTAGACACGTGTCCAACACTTCTACAAATGTTTTGAATAGAAAATAAAAAAGTTCAATAGGATACGGGGTGGACAAATATGGGACATGAGCATGACACTTATAGGATACAACAGTGTTATTTTTGTTATCTAAAAAAGTTAGGGGGTTGAAACAAAAAGACAAAATAAAATAAAGGTTTAAAAGAAGACATCGTCATTTAGGTCTCTTTTTATTTCTTTCATTCCTAGGCTCAACTCCCTCGTTTGATTAGACGAGAAAATAGAGAGATTGAGAGAGGAGGCGAAGGCGAAGGCAAAGGCCATTGCCATCGCCATCGCCATCGAAGGAGACAAACCCAATTTTCTTTGGCAACGAAGAGAGGAGAAGAATAAGAAGAGGAGGGATAACCAAAAAACTAATATTCTTCTACAAATCAGGTTCCATTATGGGCTTTTCTAGGGTTTTGCAACTTTCGTGGTTTGCATGATTTGGGATTGTTTGTATTTTGATTTTTCTATTTACGTTTAAAATCATCTGGTTTATGAATTTCATTGGGTTAGGGTTTTGAAATTTTGGAACTCTTTTGGGCTTTTTGTTGTTTGAACAATTTTTTTGGGAATACTTTTTTTCACCAAGCTCACCAACACAAATCAAGTTACTTCTTGTGCATAAACCTTCGTTTCACCAGTCACCCCAATCTCACGAGTGGAACTTTAATCTGAAAAAATTATAATCTGGATTGTTATATGAAATTCTAAATATACCTGCATATGGAATTCTAATATGTTATTTGAAGCTTAAATCTAGAATTCTAATCAAGTTAATTTCTTTTGTTTTTGTGTTTTTTTGTTAGCAAACTTATGGACTATGAATGCCAATTGATGTAATAATATTAGAAGAAATGGTGGATGTTTATTTCAAATCTTTGACCTATTTCAATTTTAATTAAAAAATTAATGTTTGCTAAGTCTTATTAGTTATTATTAATATTTTTTATTATATAGAAAAAGTATATAATATTATTTTAATTAGTCCTACTCTCGCCGTATCCATATCATGTATTTTGGAACTTTGCCACATCCCCGTGTCCGTATCTGTGCTTCTTAATTAATGACTAATAAGCTTATGGAACCATCACACATGGACTAGCCTTTAAGTACAAACGGAATATATATGGACTACGTCAATTTAATAACTAAAGGGGCCTAATATTTCCAATATTGGATCGGTCATAGAGCAATAGGGATCAGGATCCTACAATCCGGAACTCAATCCATTTAAATTATACGGTCTTACTATCCTACACAATTCAAATCTCAATCCACTAAAATTCTATAGTCCAATACACAATGAAGGACCATTAGACTCTAGTCTAGAGCATTACTTGAGATTTTGTGTTATCAAGGCCTCAAAGTCAAGATTTGTGCCTAGTAGGTGATGCAGGTAGGATATGGTGTATTTTGGAAACTAGAAATATAAAATGATTCCCTGATCAAAAAAATTTAAAAAAAGAAACAAAAGTATGATTCTCAAAAAGTAATTCAAAAGAAGTACTACTAACTAAGATTATTGAGGCTAAACAAACCTCTGAAGAATGAGGCATATATTAAACCAATTAAGTGAAAAAGACAAGAATAGATCAGACTGAACAAAAACCTCAGCATCAATGAATTGGGTATCCTTTACTTCATACTCGGCATCTTCATTCAGTTCTTCTGCCCGCAGAACAGCAAGAACATCAAAGGCCAAACGTTCCTCAATATTTGGACTGCTAAGGGTCGTCAAATCAATATCTCCATCAGGAAGGTAGGTCTTCAGTGGAACTGATCCATAAGGGAAAACCTAAAAAATATGCATATCAATTAGAAAAGTCCATCTTATTTCACTTCAATTATATAGAACAATATTCGTTCCACGTGACTTGCTCTCACTAAAAAATGTTTCATAATATAATGGAAACAGAATTATGTTAACAAAGAAACAAATGAAGCTTCATTCATAAGCAGTGGGTTGAAATTGGACTTCCAAGAAAAACTACTGTAGTTTTTGTTCAGAAAGAAGGCATTGACATCCATAACAACGCATATGCTTAGTCAGTGGAGCTAATCATCACAATTGCATGTGCATTCATCTGGAAGAAAACTAACAAAATACAGGATTAATGATGAAAAAAGTGAGAAAAAGGAGGAATATGGATCATTTTAGTATGTGGAATGTTACAGCTAAACAGCTCATACCCAATCCTATGTCGACATATTAAGCCATAATCACTCAATCATCAGGGCTGTAGCCAACTATTCATAGTGCACATAGATAATTTGTTAATGAAATATAAAAGAAGAAGCTCAAGATACCTGTGCCAACACAGACATAAGTGCCCTTAAGTGTGTTAACTATTAAGGACCTAATTCCCGAGACGTCCCAAGTGGCACTCATTGGTCATACAACTTGAGTGTAAACCCACCCTAATCCCACAAAAAGTCATAACGAAATCCTAATGGCTGCAACTCTCTGTTTAAACACAATAAACCACGAGCAATAACTTGCCCCAGGGTGCCAACATGTCAAAAGAATTGAAATGATGCAGGCAAGTGGCAACAAACCCATATAAACTCAATCATAAATGGAATCAAACCATTGGGTGAAAAGCAATGAAACGGGCTTAATGAGAGATAATCATGGTTAAATACCTTGTTACGTGCATTTTAACACTTGTTTTACTCTTCCACAAATGGAACAAGCAGAAAAATCAATGAATTGCCTGAATTGTTTACTTTTACGCACACAAAAGAAAAACTATCGACAGATCGTTAGAATTTGAGTGTCCAACAGATAGTATCACACCAACACACCAACAACCAAGAAAACCAATTACACAAACACTAACTATGTAGACATCGGCCCACCCCAAATTATACCAGAATATATATACATCTAAAATAAAGTGAGGAAATATGAAAATTCACCTCACAAACAAGAGAAGTTCTGACGAGTCTCTGAACATAATCAATCACGTCCTTCCTCTTTTCCTCAGAGTCCAAAGTGGGGTGGATACGATTCACCACCTCTTGCGTCGTTTCTTCAGCTACAGCCCAACAATTCTTGCAGATTGATGAAGGATCAGGATTTGAAGAAGCCATTGGCAGTGAATTAGACGAAAAGAACTGGTCATCCTCCATCGCAACGCCGTTTTGGCACCCACACCACACTTGGAGATCACCCATACAGGAGATCCTTCAAAGACCCAAAACAGGGCAAAGGGTTTTTAAGGCCATTGAGGCAGAAAAGGGTGCAATCAACATGGAAGATTCTGGAGAGAAACGGGTCGAGAGATAGAGAAAACAAAATTGGGTGTTTAGGAATTCACGGAATCAGCAGAGCATTGTGTGAATTGTTTCAGTTACAAATGTGTACATCTCTATATGTGTGCATGTATGTGTATTTGTATATACATATGAAGAAAGAGAACAGGAAAGTCGGAGACTGAGACAACAAGCGGCTGCTAATCGGTCGGTTTAGTAGGAAATCATCCAAACGAATTAGCCTTCCGTTTTCTTTCTTCAACCTCTTGTGCAGAGAAAACCCACCTCCTAAAATCACCCCCTCTGTGTATGTGTGTTCCCTCTCTCGCTCTCTCTGTCTCTCTCTAGATATACATGGTTGGGCTGTCTCTATCTATATATCTCTCTCATTCACGTCTGCGGCGAGAAAGCCTGCGACGCAACGAGACGAGAATGGGAAGCGAAAAGTGATGGGGAAATGGTACTAAATATCAAGATTTATTGGTTTCTTACGGGAAAGATGCAGTTCAACACGATGACGTTTCAGGGAATTAGATAAGTCTCACGTCGTCGTTTAATTAGTATTTGCCTCGGTTACAGCTCTGGCTAAACTGCACAATAACAATATGAAACCGTTCTTCCTAAAGTCCACATGTCATGTCAAGCTCCTCTCTCTCTCTCACACACACACACACTCAGCCTTTGGTGAAGGTTTTTTTTTTTTTAGGTAAGAAAAAAATGTGGAGTTGATTGGGACGAGGGTTTTGTGTGTGTGTCTGTATATATATATATATATATGATTCTGATAATATAGTGAGAAAGTTATGGCACCGTCATTAATATTTTATATTTTATTTAAATTTATAATTCAATCATATCAAATAACTAGTAATTGTCCGTGCCTGAAGGCACGGCGTAACGAAAAATTAGAACCACCAAAATTAATACATATTCAATCATCAACACATCCAACCACCAAAACATCAAGTTAATCCCTACTAATTTCAAGAAATTTATGCAGAATTTCTTTTAAAAATAGATATACAGAAAAATATAAACATGTCTACAAAACTTACAATCATCACTACATACCCAAACCACCAAAACAACCATCATTCCATACCCAAAATCATCATAATTATGTATAATTAGTTAACTTTACAAAACACGGAACACAAAAAATACACACATACACAAAATAAAGAAACAACTTCATATTCTTTACAACTTATACCAAGTATCCTTCAATGTATACTTGAAAATATTTGAAATATAAAAATTATCGAAATAAGTGAGTCAAAATAAAACAATTGTAAATCCGAAACATAAGACCCCTTACTTTTTTCGTTAGTTGGATTCAATAAAATTAATTACATTACCCTGGAATGATTTAGATTGATATAAGTAAGAATTTAGAGAGTTTGTAACAAATTATCAATTTATTTAGGAAAATATATGGAGGAATGTAGAGACTTACAATCAAATAAGATTTTCTTAGTATCATTTCAACAGACGGTTCATTTGCTTAATGATTTCAATCATAAATCTGTATTAGTGACAATATAATGGTGTGTGAGTTTGATTTGCGAGTGTTTGATTGGTTACAGTTATGTGTTTGTGTTTGTGCATGTATTGTGTGTTGTGTGTCTACATGAGAATAGAGAAATATAGAGTCTTAGTAAGAGAGATTTTCATACCTAAACAATTGTTTGGTCAGTGATGAGTTAGTCATCGTCAAAGGTGGACAGGTCGGTAATGGATTGCATATCATTTAACTCTCTTAAATGTCTTATTCATCCCTTTAAACCTTCTCTTCATCACTATCCTTAATGTCCTCGTATCAATACGAACGCACTTTGCCCAATGAGGAGAATGCACAACCACCTAATTATTCACATAAACAATAAAAGTAACACAATATTTATATTGTAGGAATAGTAAAGTTATTTTAATACAGTGACATAAAGTAGATTTACCTGATTACGTCGGCCCCATCCACAAAGGTCCATTGTATATACACTATCGTTCTCGTTGACAAATTCACTCCAATCCTATAAAGAATGAATCTCATTGTAAAACTAAAAGTTGAAATGATGAAAAAATTACATAATTCAGTAGAAATAAATTTGTTTAAACTATACCATTTACTTGTCGTAAGAATCTTATAACAAAACTTCAGGGTAAACAATATTTGTAGTGCAATTCGACCCATCTTCTGGAAGGAGGACTGTAATACGATCTGAAGATGTGCATCTAGATAGTGCCACATAAAGGTGTCCATGACTAAAAACAGGTGTCCGCAAATCAATCCCAACGAACTTCACAGATTGTCCTTGGGCTTTATTGATTGTCATAGCATAAGTTAATCGGACAGGAAACTGACGTCTTGTCATTCGAAAAGGCAAGTCCAAAGATGTTGGTGTCATTGATATTCTCGGAATGAAGACTAAATTGCCAATTTTATCTCCATTTAATATCTGAGCTTCGATTACCCTTGAGGCACATCTAACAACCATCAATCGCGTGCCATTACAAAGTCCATCATTTGGTGCAATATTTCGTAACAACATTATTGGGCATCCAACTTTCAACTCCAATTTAAACGGTGGCAACCCTGAAGGATTCAGCGAGTTTAAGTACTCATTAGGATATCGATTCCTAATGGTACGGTCAAGCTCATCACCTTCAGACATTTTATCTGCAGCTAAAAAAGTAATTGTCTCTCCCGGAGTAATATTCAGTGCTGCAGCATTTATATCACTGACGTCGTCATTACGCGCAGAGAGAATTGTGCGTTCAGTGAGAAAGGTTGGAGTCACTATACCAATCACATCCAATTGTGGATAGATTTTAAATATCAATTCATTTAGATTGTGACACCGGTTTATTGTAGATGGAAGTTGCACAATTTCACGTGGATTGGTCCCAATCTAAAAAATGAGAGTATAATTAGTCACAAAGTGAGATTTAATTCAAAGCATCATGTTAAAAAATTCAACAATTCAAGGTGGAATGAAATATTACCTCCATCAAGAATTTAGCAAAATTAGTATTTCGAACGTCGGTGCGAGTTAATCGCATGTTTAAACCTAGAGTCAAAACACATATATCTTTCCATAGCAAAGACCGTCTCAATGATGCACCCACAATTTGCTCACGAACGCCTTTAGGAATAACAGGCAATATTTGTCGAAAGTCTCCACCCAGGACAACAGTGATACCCCCAAAAGGTCTTTTATCGTCTCTGATATCTTGAAGGGTGCGATCGACTGCCTCAACACAGTATCGATGCTGCATAGGAACTTCATCCCATATTATCAACTTTGTTTTTCTAAACAATTCGGCATGCATTGATTGTTTAGTGAACCCACATATTGAATTGTCTAGGGTTTCCAAAGGAATACAAAATGTAGAATGTGCAGTGCGCCCCCCTACCAATAACAACGATGCAATACCAGATGAAGCCACAGTAACAACAACATGTCCATAACTACGCAATTTGGTTGCAATGGTATTGTACAAAAACGTTTTTCCCGTCCCAGCACCTCCACTCAAAAAAAAAGTAGTTGCTATGTTTTCACATACTGACGTTGTGACGGCAGTATAAGCAGCAAGTTGTGCATCATTAAGACCGTCAACATTAATTTGTGCATCAGACTGTTGTGCTTCATTCTGAAGTTGGTGATGCTCAAACAATAATCTATTTCTAACTGTTGCATTCCAATTTCCAATTGATTGTGGCATGGGTGGAAAGTCAACTAAACTCTTCCCCGACTCATGGAGCAATTGATTAATCAAATATAAGCCATAATCTTCAATATGATCATTAGTTGGATTCAAAATACCAAACATAGTACGAATCTTGTGTGCTAAATCATCACATATATGTGCTGAGAATTGCTTCCACAATGCAAATGGATGCAATGGAAAGCATTCCGTTAGAATTATGGCAAATAATCTTCTTAATTGGTACCCCGTTCTCATAATTGCAGCCTCTTGAAGACATTGTATCCATTCTTCATCATCTTCAAGAAGTCCTCTTGCAACACATGCTGACTTGAATGTATCATGCATAACATTATTTACCGTGCGTAGCCAGTCAAATGAAGTAGGTCCTCTGACAACAGTTAGAAGCAAACGTAAATAAAATCGCTCACCTGAATTAGGGCTAGCAAAGTACATTCTACCAATTGCATAACCCCTTTGTCTTGGAGTCCATTTATTGATAGACTTGTTCCAAACAAATTTTTGTGGAAATTCCTGATAAGTTAATACACGTGCAGATTCATTTGCAGCGCAACAATCAAAAAAACCAGTTAGAGTTGTTTCTTGATGTGCACCTTTAGAAAGGATCGTATCAAAAGATTCAGCAGGGTTAAAGACCACACGATGCATCCCAGGCAAATGAAGTGCCAATCTTACAACCGACGGAATCTCTTCATGTAAAGGATTACCAAATAATCGCCACGCAGCTTCTGGAGGTCCAATATACCTAGCATCAAGATATTGTTGGATCTCATTAATTCCTCCAAGTACCATTGTTGCGCGATCATGTCCTTTATAAATATACTTGTGAATGTATTTTACACATCTGATTCCTGCACAAACTTCAACATTGATATGACAGTTGAACATTCTTGATAAGTACGGATTATGTGGCACAACATCTCTATTATCAATTTCTTGTCCCCTCACGATGTACTTCTGACCAGTATTACGACGACGATAGACAGGATATCCATCAGAGTCCATACTTGTTGATTCAACAAATGACCGAGGGTACCGCTTGGTACATACCCCATTTTCCATACATGATGCTTGTGGATTTCGAGCACCACATGGTCCGTGTACCATGCAACCTATGATTGTTTCAAAAAGCAATGGGTCAGTTTGACAATCCGGAAATTCAGCACACACTACTCTGTCCACTTGAGCACATGTTT